AAAATGGATCATTTTAGCATTTACTACTTACCAAATTTTTCGAGAATTTGAAATTTTTGTATTCGAAAATTCAGCGAATCAACAATAAAGAGAGATCCATAGCTATCGAAAGCCATTGATGTCGGCATTTTTAACATATGAGGATGATTTCCAAAACTACCAGAACAAGCCACAATACATTCACCATATGCCGAGTCTGGCGGCCATCGTAAAACTCGATTGTTTAGAGCATCCACTATGTACATGTATTCTTTCGAATCAACGACAACATCTGTCGGCAAATTTAGTTCATTCAAATTGCTACCGGCTTTTCCAGTTCCTGCTACTGTGACACCAAAAGATGCTCCTTTTCCCCATCTTTGAATTCGATGATTGCCAGCATCCGCAACGTATATCGTGCCAACTTCACTGACGAAAATACCGTGTGGACGATATAAATGTAAAGAATCTTCTCCTGGCATGGTACTTCCAGCGACTATGACACCGGGAAAACCACTGGTTGAGTTTGATGGAAACCAAAGTACTTTACCATTAATAGTATCACTGACATATAAGTTCTCATTGTTATCAACAAATAGATTCACTTCAAGGCCAATTTTCGTCAAATCGAAAAAATTTGCAGCCTCATTCATGACTCCGGCAACGGCGACTGCATTTGATCCCTTTTTTGACAATCTTAAGACACGAAAACTTCCTGATTCTGCTACATAGATGTGTTTTTGTGTGACAAAAACATCACGAGGCCAAGGAGGCATAATAGAATCGACAGGTTCTGAGTTAATAAAGGCGACGGGTGAGCTTGAGTTCAGTTCAATTATGACGATACGATCATTTCGGATATCAGTAGTATAAAGAATGTTGTCATGTGTAATACTTAAGCCGCCAATATGACTGAAAGGAGAAGCTGCAGGATTCTGAGAATTGTAGATTATTCCAACAATGGTGGTTGCATTTTGAGCCCATTGTACAGTAGGTGGAAAATTAATTTGTGCTGGAAGTATATATAATAGTTAAAATTAAACAAGGTTCTTCGCAGTTCAATCTCATTTTCTATGTCATTATTGGAGGATATAGGACAATATTGACTTAACTTACAGATAAAAATAATTAAACTTGTGTACTTCGTCTTTGCAATTTAAAGGTCTACATTTATATTCTCATGAGATTCTGAAACTTACGGATAAATGTGAATATGATTTAATGAAACATATACACTACATCCGTACTAAACTAGACTTGAATGAGAAAGAATACACTTTTTATGTTAATGGCTCTTGAATTTTTCGGACAGACGAATACAGAATCCCAATATCTCAATTTGGTGGCGTATATGGGTATATTTAGCCAACAAGTATCTAACACTTTTATTATTCACATGACATGTTTGTTTTCTAAATTTTGCAGCTTATTTTTATCTACCAGAAGATGGAAACATGGCTTAAAAACCGTTTGATTATGTTGAAAGTTCAAGATGAAATGTATACGTAAGTCTAATTATCTTCATCGAATTTAAAACTTTTCAACACGGCTCATTCCAACTACGACAAAACTATCTACAGTTAAACATAATATTGGTTAGTCCATCATCGGTTGATGAAGAAGCTAGATTTCAAGAACATTGGAATAAAAACCAGCATTATTTGCGAATATTACATCGTATAGTACTATACTATCGTATTATCCCAATAATGTTCGTTGCAAATAAAAGTACATTTTCAATGACTGGCTACATCCAATAAAAGCAGCATTCTCATCTGTTTGCAAGAATTTTGCCATAGCTCATGTTATTATGAGATTTAGAACTATATCGTCTTAATTTCAATGGTACATGCAATATGCATTATCATTATCATTATGCATCGTGTGTTCGTGATCGCAAAGTAAAACAGTTGAATACATTTCTTGTTTTTGTTTTGAAATCCGCTTATTTTCTTTAATTGAAAGGAATTCAGTCTGAGATGGTAGTAGTATGGTAGTGAATTTTATGCATGGCTCTTCAAATAATGACTTTTGATTTCGATCGCATGTCGGTCATTTAATCATATGAAAACCACTGAAACCTCTCTTTTATCATTATTTTTATTTTGTGAGATATTTCATAGTATTCTTTTGTATTTTTATTGGAAAAGTAATCCATTCTGATATTCTATATTAAGGCTCCTAGTTCCTTCCTCTAGAAGCTGTTTCTGCTATATCGTTTACTACCATAGCAATATATGTGAGAAATAAAGTACGAATCTCACTCGTCCTGAAAAGTACCGTTTGAATCATAATCTTTCAAAAAGTTGAAACCGTTTATTAAAGAACTGATTGTAAAATCTATTTGAAAATTTTTTCTACTAATCCCCCATGTCCTTTGAATCGGCTAAAAATTGCCGATTAATCCCGATTCATCGAAACGATAATCGTGAGCTGAATCGCGATAGAATCGCCGTTTATTCCCGATTATTTCAGCGATTTTTACGATAAATCGTGATTTTATGCAAGATTTAACCGTCTGTTTACAGATATTTTCTACTATTTCATTGGTTCTTTTGAAGACACATATTTGGATTTTTTCTTGAATATAATTCAATATTTTTTGTTCTCACGATCCAAGCCGATCAGATCATGCGATCTGTCCGATCTCGAGCTGGTCCGATTCTTATCAGACCGCTTCAGTGTAGTCCTCTCCAGATCATGGATCGGGATTGGCATTTCCTTGATTAAAAATAACCAAGAAATAATTTATCAGAAAAGTATATTTCGAAAACTTATCTGTTATGCATTGAACGGCGTTGTTTATATATCCGTGTGTGTTCATAACAAAACGGTGAATGAATAATTGTCATGATTTATCAATGATTTTTGAAAATCAGCTCTTCTCCCATAATCGCGATAAAATCTGATATAATCGTCGATCTTTTAAAGAAATACGATAAATCACGATTTTACGCCAATTTTTTAGAAAATCGCGAAAATCGCGGTGATTCTCACGACATGGGCCAAATTAAAATAATAATTGGGCATAAGTTACAGCATTTTTATAGGACTAAAAGTTTTTATGTCAAATTGAAATCTAAGGTTATCTTTCTGAGATTCAATAGTAGAAAAAATTAGCATGTGAGAATAAGAACATCGAGCGTTTTCGACTAGTCAACAGACAGCAGCTATTGGACAATAAAATAACTAAAATACTAAAACGCTTTTCTATGACGACCCAAGATATATCGTTGTTTTTCGTATTTTAAATATTTGAATGAAATATTTATGAACAGAAAATTAGTCAACTACGCCAGAACAAAATATCATAATTCAAAAAATTTATCACGGATATGAAACAAACAATTCCTAAATTTTAGTAAACCATTAGTCTAAGTTTGATTTTCTCTCTCTGCTAAAGTTAAAAATGCAATGACAAGTATATTAATATTTGAGTTCTTCAGTGTCCCCGACTCACCAAAACGGAAGTTAAGGTTTCATAACAAATAATAGACTGAATGAAAGTATTCTGTAACGTATGAATAAAAGAGAAACATAATCTTTAGAAAAATCTGGATTTCGAGCCTATGCGAATGTAAACAGCTATAATAAGCTAGTCTAATATATATTGAATGACTTTAAAGGAATTAAGGCATTCGTATTTGACATAGATATCATTTGTGATAGTCAATAGTTATTTTGAAACATAAACTGCAAAAAAATGATGTACATATGTATATTTCGGCTTTGATAAAAGCAACTACGAATCTAATCTATTCTTAAATTAAATATAATTAAATAGGTTACCCCTAGTTCTATTCTCATTTCTGATTACCATGTCGTAAAAACTTGGAACTTTGTCCCATCGCACTCAATACTTCACGACATCGTTTTTGTACCGTGCTAGTCTAATGGCTATAGTAATGACAATTACTAAAATAGCATAAAAAATATTCTAGAACAGAAGTTTTTCAATTCTACATTCACAGAGAGATATTCCTTAACGTTTTAGGTGCAGTGTTCGAACCTGGTTGTCTGAACACACTTCACTCAATTATTGCACTTGAATTTACTAGATGTCCTGCACCCCCATGTAAAAATATGGGAAAAAAATCAGCTTTAGAGAGGTCAAAATCGATTAAAAGTCGTAATCTGTGGAACAGAATCCAGATCACCCCGATATTCTATATTTTTGATTGTGCTAATTTATAGTTTAAATAATATTAACAGTTGATTCTAATAATTCTTCGATCATGACCCTATAGTTTCATTCGTTGAGACGAAAAACATCATACAAATAAAAATGTATGATCACAGAAGAGTTATACCTAAATTCGGATCCGATACGATGGGAGAAGAGGAGAAGTTCGATCGCATTTTAAAAGTAAACGTATAAAACTAATAATTTTCTATCGAATTCCCGGTCTTTGAACTGAAATCGGATCCTTAGGGCCAGGACCCGATAATATGATACCATAGAACCCAACAAAGCCAAAAAGCAAGTCTAAGACGATCTCTGATTATGGATGTATCGAGACTACAAATGACACTTTGTAATTCTTTCATAAAACCAATACTTAATTGTGAGAACAAAGAATTTGTGAAATTCATAAAGTAGCTGACGTTGTAGAGCAAACATTTTCTATAGAATGAGACGTCGGTGAAGTTTGTGCGGCTCAGGGTCCAACTTGTATCTCAGTTTTACTATAAGCTCCGACAGGACGGAGACCAAGCCTCGGACTCGGTCTTAATTTCATGGCTTTTTGTAAAACTGTAGTAAAAATTGAAACGGACATCGTACAATTCTCGTCAAGGGCCCATTTTGCAGAAAAATATTTGCTGCACAAGGTTATATCTGGAACAGAATTTTACCATATTACGCATAACGAGAGCATCCTCGAGAACAAATAGGAACGAAATCGAAAAAGACATCTAAATGAGAAGTTATGTATGGAAGCTAGAAACTCTGACGAAGCTAATTTTCTTATATAATTGAGTGGAATTGTTAGTTCACAAAGTACTATATTGAAGTGAGCAACGTGATGGATACTTTTGGCTTTGCTTTCGATCAAAGAATGTAGGAATCTCATATAAACTTACAAAAATTTTGATACAGTGTAAATATTTATAGACAAAAACATAACTCCTACCAGTAGTGCAACCGACGAATATTTGTAAAATTAACAAAGAGGCAATGTTTCTTGCTGTTGTGATAGGCAGGCACATTTTATGTTCAAGCCAAATTGTATGTGAAAAATATCAATCAGTTGATATGATTTGTTCTTGACCACAGAGAAATACACGCGAAAGAGCTTTGTAACAACAAGATACCGAAAATGTCGTCGAAAAAGTGATCTTTAAAGAAATAGTTAAATATCAAAAATATTTTTTTTGCAAAAATTTATTAATTTTTATAGAATTGGCGATGGACGTAAATATAAGTGACAGTCGAAAAGAAGCAAAACCTTTAGCATAAAAACTTATAAATACTATACTGGTCGTCGAAAGAAAGAAATCTATCTTACAATATGGAGAACTAATCTAGATAATTTTTATTATTCCAACTAAATGCATATCTACGTTGTTCGATACATCTCTTCTAATATTCTGATCTATTGTCTAATCTTCCTCAAAGCGTCATAGGATGCAAATTCAATTTGCTATTACACAGTTAAAAATGAAGGATACATACATTTTGAAGACACTGTTACTCTATTGCATCCATTAGTATTGACATATAGTTGATGCCACATTTTAACGTAGCAATGCCCTCTAAAATTGTTTTTCTATAGTT